GTAGCAGCAATAATTGATGGTGTTGGAAGCAAGTAGAGTCAATACAGCCAAAAACTAAAAGTATAACACTTTAAAACAAGAAAGCTATTAACATCATTTACACTGCCAAACCGGGCAAAGAAAGTCACAGCACATAGGATCTTCTATTCAGTAGCACACTGTACTGTGTACAAACCACAAATCATAATCCTCAAACCCACATTGCGGAGATGATGCAGTTAAAAAAAATGAGGCAAGAACAAAAAAAAAACAATGCCGTGTTTCAGAGGCAAAAGCAAAAGTTTTAAAACACAACTGAAGAGCATGCAAACAATTGGAATGGGGCCCAAGGCAGCGATGTAAGAGACAGAAATAATTTTTTTTTCCTCTAAAAAAAAAAAACGATCACGGTAAAATATTACAAAGTATCCTTAAATATTGGCCATAAAGCAAGCATCTCTACTTGGACATTACGTCAGTAGAATAGACGAGGCATATTTTATTTAGATAAAACAAATTTCAGCTTAAAAAATGAAAGGAAGACTTGGAAAACCCATCTGATCTCAATGGGGAAAAACTTCCTGCTGGATATCTATAATGACATGGACGGGGCAATGTGTTAGGAATGTAAGGACGCCCCATCATTTGACAGAAATTAAATTTATCAACCTATAAAGGAATGAATTCAAAGACACCCGAAAATCAAAGTGAAAAAATAATGCAGCAGGCTAGTCCATTTCATTGCAGCAACTCAGAATGGTCCTCAGTAGTCTGTGTGGCCCCCATGTGCTTGTATGCATGCCTATAATGTCGGGGGAGGGTCCTAATGAGACCAGGGATGGTGTCCTGGGGTATTTCCTCCCAGATCTGGATCAGGGCATCACTGAGCTCCTGGATTGTCTGAGGTACAACCTGGCGGAGTCGGATGGACCAAACATGACATCCCAGAGGTGTTCTATTGGATTTAGGTCAGGTGAGCGTGGGGGCCTTTCAATGGTATCAATTCCTCCATCCTCCAGGAACTGCCTGCATACTCTCTCCACAGGAGGCCGCGCATTGTCCTGCATCAGGAGGAACCCAGGATCCACTGCACCAGGAGGAACCCAGGACCCACTGCACCAGCGTAGGGTCTGACAATGGGTCCAAGAATTTCATCCCCATACCTAATGGCAGTCAGGGTGCCATTGTCTAGCCTGTAGAGGTCTGTGTGTCCCTCCATGGATATGCCTCCCCAGACCATCACTGACCCACCACCAAAATGGTCATGCTGAACGGTGTTACAGGCAGCAGAATGTTTCTCTATGGCTTCTTCTCCAGACCCTTTCACGTCTGTCACATGTGCTCAGGGGGAACCTGCTCTCATCTGTGAAAAGCACGGGGGGCCAGTGGTGGACCTGCCAATTCTGGTGTTCGATGGCAAATGCCAATCGAGTTCTATGGTGCTGAGCAGTGAGCACAGGGCCCACTTGAGGACGTCGGGCCCTCAGACCACCATCATGAAGTCTGTTTCTGATTGTTCAGTCACAGACATTCATACCAGTGGTCTGCTGGAGGTCATTTTGTAGGGCTCTGGCAGGGCTCCTCCTGTTCCTCCTTGCACAAAGGAGCAGATACTGGTCCTGCTGATGGGTTAAGGACCTTCTGCGGCCCTGTTCTGCTTTCCTAGAGTAACTGCCTGTCTCCTGGAATATCCTCCATGCTCTTGAAACTGTGCTGGGAGAGACAGCAAACCTTCTGGCAATAGCAGGTATTGATGGGCCATCCTGGAGGAGTTGGACTGCCTGTGCAAGCTCTGTAGGGTCCAGGTATTGCCTCATGCTACCAGTAGTGACACTGACCCTAGCCAAATGCAAAACTAGTGAAAAAACAGTCAGAAAAGATGAGGAGGAAAAAAAATGTCAGTGGCCTCCATCTGTAAAGCCATTCCTGTTTTGGGGGTCGACTCATTGTTGTCCATTTAGTGCACCTGTTGCTAATTTAATTAACACCAAAGCAGCTGAAAGTGATTAACACCCCCCTCTGCTATTTCACTGACCAGATCAATATCCCAGAAGTTTCATTGACTTGATGCTATACTTGGATTAAAAAGTCTTCCATTAATTTTTTGAGGAGTGTATATCATGAATCCCCTGAGCACAAAGCAGAGATGAGCGCCTTGGTGAAACCATGGGGAGCAGTGGAGAAGCAAAAGGGGAGGGTGAAAAATTGGAAAAGGTTCTGGAAAACACAGATACCTCTGATGAGGTGGAAAGTTTGTAATCTGTTAGAAAGTCATCTGGATGTCTATTGAGGTCATAAAAATCCCCCAGAAGGAGGGAGGCAATCACCAAATCACCAACCTGGCAGCTTCCATTTGGAACTTTGTACCTGTAGAGTGTTCAGGTCGAGGAGTCAGACACCTCCATTAGCGATCTGCTTCAGGGGGGTCAATGTTTCCCAAAGACACACTAAATACAGGCTGTAAGTGCTTTGTGTTTGCCTGAACTGGATCACATGATACCATAGTGATGTGCGTTCTGGTTTGCACAGCGTTTTTAACCACTTCAGCTCCGGAAGATTTTACCCCCTTCACGACCAGGCCATTTTTTGCTATACCTATACCACACTGTGCTACTAAAATTTATATTATCATCACACAAATATAGATTTATCTTGGTGATATTTGATCACCTCTGGGGTTTTTTTAATTTTTGTGATATAAACGGAAAATTAAAAAAAAAAAACATGATTTTTTTTACTGCTATAAAAAATTTAAAAAAAATCTAATTTCCTCATAAATTTTGGCCAAAATGTATTCTTCTACATGCCTTTGGTAAAAAATTCAAAAATTCCAATAAATGTATATTAGTTGGTTTGTGTGAAAGGTACACCGTCTATAGACTATAGTGGAATTTTTTTATTTATATATAACTACTAATGGCGATGATCAGCGATGATATTGTTTATATAATAAAAAATAAAAAGTGGTGATCAAAAGAATTCTCTATTTGTCTGAAAAAAATTACATACATTTTGTTTGGGTACAGTATCGTATGACCGCAAAATTGCCAGTAAGAGTAGCACAGTGCAGTATAAATGCTTTAATGCCTTGTCCCCCACTCCCCATTAAGGATTGGCACCTTTGGGAGCGGGGGGAGCGGGTATCCGAATTTGACAGGTACCCGCTCCCCACTTCCACTGCCAATTGCCTAAGCAATCAGCAGCAGAAGTTGTCCTCCCTCCCTCCCTGTAGTCTTGTGGGACACGTGACAGGTCCCAGAAGACTACGGGGCCATTCACAAAGTGCAGCACTTCTCGCTCATGCGCAGTGGGCACCCGGCTGTGAAGCCGCAAGCTGTCAAAGCCGGGTGCCAACACTAAAGATGCCGGCACTAGGGAGAGAGGACGGCCAGTGAAACCAGCGGTGGTGAGGACACCGCTTGTCAGGGATCCCCTCGATCCCCACCGCGATGGTCCCGGCGCAGGCGCAGTATGCCGCCCTGTGCAGGGACGCGGGCTCTAGGTCCGGGCCGGCCGCGGCGCGTGAGTTCGCGCATGCGCAGTAGGAGCCGCGGCCGCCCGCTGGGCACCAATGGCAGCGCAGGGCGCGATATTTAAACGGCCCTGAGCTGTCATTCAGTGCCTTCTGGTCTTGTCCTTGCCCTGTATCCTGTATCCTGTATCTGAACCTGAACCTGTAAGTTGCTGACCCGGATTGTACCTGACCACTGCTGAATTCTCCTGCCCAGACCCTTGCTTTGCCTGACCTCTCTTCCGTATGTCCCCTATTGGATCTGACCTACTGTTGATGACCTGGCGTGTGACCCGACTATTCTCTGCCCGCTGCCTTGTACCGTGCTGTCCACCCCGTTACCGACCCGGCTTGCCTGACTCTGCACTTGCTCCGCCATCCATCCATTCCTCTCAGCGGGGTTCCCAGACCTCCTCATATCAGGCTCTCTCCCGTGGGAGCCCCTGGCGACCACCCCTACCACTGACGGGTGCCCTCAGTAAGCACGACCTGGTCCCGGGGTACTCCAAGTCCATCCCCGCCATCAGGGGCTCTGGTGAACAAGTACTCTGGGACTTAGACTCCGTGCGCTGGGGACACCTGATTAGTGGAGTGCTAGTGGTGTCGCCAGGCGGTCCCTTACACCGCTGGACCGAGGGACAGGTAAATGGCTGTATTTTAAAAACTCAGCAGCTACAGTTTTTGTAGCTACTGACTTTTTTTTTTTCTGCTTTAATTGGACCCTATCGTGTAAACTAGGCATCAAACACCTGCGTAATACCTCTCCCTATCTGCACAGCATGGTATCTACTACTGCACCAGCTTTACTCCATTCTAATGAAACAATGTCATTATATGCATCCAATAGGTTATGTACAATGCACCAAAATGTTACATGTTAAATGCATACAATATCTGAAATAATATTAATAAAATGTGTAGTAATAAAAATAGGATAAAATAAAATTCAAATTAACCCCTAGACGCTGAGCTCACGCAAATGTGCGGCCTCTTGGCGGCTGGGCCTTGACGCCAAGCAGCCGCATATTTGTGTACCATTTGAAAATACATATGTACTGAGAGCGCCCGCCCCCTGCGCGCTCCTAGCACATATGTCGGTGTTTCACGGAAAGATCCCGATCTACCCTTGCGAGTGGGACCTTTTCTGATCATGTGACCGCCGTGACAGCGAATCACAGTGGTCACCCTAAAACCCCGCCCCGCCTCCCGGCTTCTGAAACCTCTTAAAGGGCCGGAGGCGCGGCACTGAGGGGTTAAAATCAGGGGCGGACTGACAACTCATGGGGCCCCCGGGCAATAGGGGATCATGGGGCCCCCCTGTGTCCTTGCCCAAACTCAAAAAAAAAAAAGCCTTTGAAAAGGTACCAGGGCATCTCATGGGGCCCCCTACTGACCCCAAGCCCTCGTGCCAGTGCCCGAGTTTCAAAATGGTCAGTCCGCCCCTGGTTAAAATAGAAACCTAAACTAGTTTGGGGAGGTGGATGTTTTTAAAAATACAGTAATTTAGTGTTTTTATTTTAAAATCATGTATTACAGGTCAAATTCTTTATTTAAACCTAGAAGTGCTAAACTCTTCATTTCATGAATCCACCTTGATTCTTTTTTTTCAAAGTTCCCTAATTTTGTTTTCTTCCCTCCAGCAGCTGATATGTTTCTCTATCCCCCCAAAACTGTAGTTGCCTGGCATCTTTATTGTGTGCTATACGAAAATGTTTTGATAGATAGTGATGTTTTAAAACCTCTATTTATGTTATATACACATGTTCCTTCATTCTATCTATCAGAGCTCTTTTGGTCCTGCCTATATAAATCAGATCACATGAGCATTTTAAAGCATACACTACCCCTTTGGTGTCGCACAATATAAATTGCTGAATTTTGTACTCCTTACCCGTAAATGTGATTCTCCTTTTTAGATTATTATTAACCCTGCTGTGACTGTAGCATCTTCCACAAGCATACAATCCTATACCTGTGAAGAAACTAGTTTCATTTTTATTATTAGGGGGGGTCAATAATATTCCTAATTAATTTATCTCTTAGATTGGGGGCCTTTTTGTATATAAATCTAGGTTGTTCTGATAGAATATTCTTCAAATGCTTATCTTGTTTTAATATATTCCGATGTCTATGGATAATGCGCTGATATCACTTTGGATTGTTGATTATATTCCAAAACTACCGGTATATCCATATCCCCCTTATCTTTGCGTTTGTTATTATTATTATACAGTATTTATAAAGAGCCGATAGTTCGCTCAGCGCTGTACATTACAAAGGGGGACAGAACATGTGACAGAATACCAATACAATGCAAAACATGAGGGGATCGAGGGCCCTGCTCTTTCGAGCTTACAATCTAGGAGTTATCTAATAATAATTCATTTCTGTTGAGCTCCCTTATTTATATTATTTCCTTCTCAATCTTTTTCCTGGTAACCTTTTTGTATAAATCTTTCTGCTATAATTTGTAGTAAATCTCAAGATTATGAAATACAAAGTCAATTTCTATTAATACGCATCAATTGTCCCCTTGGGATGTTTGTGAGCCATGGTTTTGAAATAGCAACTATTTAGTAGGAATGTAGGCATTTCTATCAGTACTTTTTAAAATATGTTTTAGTGTAGATTACATTCTCATCTCTAATCATTTCTAAGTCCAGAAAATGTATGTTGTAAGGATTAATCTCCCAACTTAATTTAATATTTTTATCATTATTATTCAGGTTGACCAGGAATTCATGTAAGGAGTTTTGTTCTCCCTGCCACACTAATAAGATCGTCAATAAATCTGTACAGGGTTACTTCCTTCTTTACATTTTCAGAAATAGTTTCCTCTTCCCATTCAGCCATATATACGTTTGCAATGCTGGGAACAAACTCCGCTCCCATAGCCGCTCCCGCTGTTTGTAGATAATATACTCCCTGGTACCAAAAATAATCGCAGGCTATCCCCTCTTCAGTCTATCATGAATGCTGCTGCCAGATTCATCCACCTTACTAACCGTTCTGTATCTCCCACCCCCCTCTGCCAATCCATCCACTGGCCTCCACTCAGTGTCCTCCACCCCTCTCTGCCAATCCCTCCACTGGCCTCCACTCAGTGTCCTCCACCCCTCTCTGCCAATCCCTCCACTGGCCTCCATTCAGTGTCCTCCACCCCTCTCTGCCAATCCCTCCACTGGCCTCCATTCAGTGTCCTCCACCCCTCTCTGCCAATCCCTCCACTGGCCTCTACTCAGTGTCCTCCACCCCTCTCTGCCAATCCCTCCACTGGCTTCCCGTTGCCCAACGGATAAAATTCAAAACACTAACAATAACATATAAAGCCATTTATAACTCTGCCCAAATTACATCAACGATCTTGTCTCTAAATATCACCCAAACCTTCCTCTCCGCTCCTCGCAAGAAACTCCTGCTCTCTAGCTCCATTGTCTCCACCTCCCATGCTCATCTCCAGGACTTCTCCAGAGCTTCCCCCTCCTCTGGAACTCTCCACCCCAATTTATCAGACTATCGCCTACTCTGCTCACTTTTAGGCGATCTCTGAAAACCTCTCTCTTCAGGGAAGCCTATCTTGCCCTCAGCTAATACTGGAATCTTCTACTCTTCCAACCAGTCCATCCCCCACAGTTACTACCTTTTGTACCACTAGCCCCTCCCTGCTAGATTGTATTGAACTGTATTGTTACTGTATTGTCTCCTGTTATATTGTGAAGCGCTGAGCAAACTGTTGGCGCCGTAAATCCTGTATAACAATAATAATGTTTAAGACAAAATGTTTATGATAAATTCGTGTTAATGTGGAGTAATTATTTTAATGCCCATTTAGCTGCCTTAATTGCCCCTTCATGTTCTATATCAGTGTATAGTGCTAATACATCAGCTGTACTAAGGACAGTTTGTTATGTTACCTCTATATTCTGAATTAATTGTATGATGTGTTGTATCCTTATGATACGCTGGTGTCTGCGCTTCTAGTGGTTGTAAGAAACAATCCACATACTCCCCCATTCTAGCTGATAGAGAATCTATCCCTTTAATAATTGGCCTTCTGGGGGTTGTTTGCTATCTTTATGAATTTTTGGAACCTGTAGATGACCGGTAGTTTACATAAAAAATGGAATTAGATTTTTTTTTTCTTCTTTTTAATTTAGTATGCCCTTCCTACTTCCATATTTCACTATTTTTTCCAATGCTTTTTTATATTGTTTAGTAGGACTCCTTCCCCTTTATCCGCAGGGCGGATGACTGTCTTTCCTTTTTCCTAATGTCTCAATGCCCCTCCTGATTTTTAGAGTTTCTCTATGTTTTTTATGGATAATCTATCTAAATCCTCTATAACTAATTTATTGAATATATCTACATAGAGGAACAGAAGTATTTGAACACCCTGCGATTTTGCAAGTTCTCCCACTTAGAAATCATGGAGGGGTCTGACATTCACATTGTAGGTGCATTCCCACTCTGAGAGACAGAATTAAAAAATAAATTCAGGAAATCCCATTGTATGATTTGTAAAGAATGTATTTGTCTTGCACTGCTGAACAGAAGTATTTGAACCCCTGAGAAGATCCGTGTTAATATTTGGTACAGAAGCCTTTGTTTGCAATTACAGAGGTCAGACGTTTCCTGTAGTTCCTGACCAGGTTTGCACTGCAACAGGGATTTTGGCCGACTCCTCCACACAGATCTCCTCTAGATCTGTCAGGTTTCGGGGCTGTCACTGAGCAAAACGGAGTTTCAGCTCCCTCCAAAGATGTTCTATTGGATTTAGGTCTGGAGACTGGCTAGGCCACTCCAGAACCTTGATATGCTTCTTACGGAGCCACTCCTTGGTTCTCCTGGCTGTGTGCTTCTGGTCGTTGTCATGTTGGAAGACCCAGCCACGACCCATCTTCAATGCTCTGACTGAGGGAAGGAGGTTGTTGCGCAAAATCTCACAATAAATGGCCCCATTCATCCTCTCCTTAATACAGTGCAGTCGTCCTGTCCCCTTCACAGAAAAGCACCCCCAAAGCATGATGTTACCACCTCCATGCTTCACAGTAGGGATGGTGTTCTTGGGATGCAACTCATCCTTTTTTTCCTCCAAACACGACGAGTGAAATTTAGACCAAAAAGTTCTACTTTGGTCTCATCTGACCACATGACTTTCTCCCATGCCTCCTCTGGATCATCCAGATGGTCATTGGCAAACTTCAGACGGGCCTGGACATGTGATGATTTGAGCAGGGGAACCTTCCGTGCAATGCATGATTTGAAACCATGACAGCATAGTGTTCTACCGACAGTGACCTTTGAAATTGTGGTCCCAGCTCTCTTCATGTCATTGACCAACTCCTCTCCCTTGTAGTTCTGGGCTGATTCCCCACCTTTCTTATCATCAGTGATACCCCACGAGGTGACATCTTGCATGGAGCCCCAGTCCGAGGGAGACTGACAGTCGTCTTCAGCCTCTTCCATTTTCTAACAATTGCTCCAACAGTTGATCTATTTTCACACCAAGCTGCTTGGCAATTGCCCCGTAGCCCTTTCCTCCTTGTGGAGGTCCACAATTTTGTCTCTGGTATCTTTTGACAGCTCTTTGGTCTTGCCCATGGTAGTAGTTGGCGTCTGACTGATTGGGGGGTGGACAGGTTGTCTTTAAAGAGCTCAGACAGGTGCTACTAAGTTAGAATAATGAGTGGAGTAGAGGTGGACTTTTTAAAGGTGCAGTAGTAACAGGTCTTTGAGAGCCAGAATTATTGCTGTTTCTTAGGTGTTCAAATACTTCTGTTCAGCAGTGCGAGACAAATACATTCTTTACAAATCATACAATGTGATTTCCTGAATTTTTTTTTTAATTCTGTCTCTCAGAGTGGGAATGCACCTAAAATGTGAATTTCAGAGCCCTCCATGATTTCTAAGTGGGAGAACTTGCAAAATCGCAGGGGGTTCAAATACTTCTGTTCCTCACGGTATGTATCTGTTGTCTGTAGCCACTGGGTTGAAAGTAGACTTGTTACTAAGATGTGTATGATATTCTCCCTTTCTTACATCATTTTGAATAGGGCTGGGTTGTGGATTTTGAGCGTAATATTTTTTAATGTTAAGACTCCTCACTAATTTTTGAATACCAACATAGGTTTCAAACTTATTGAGGCTTTTGATTAATTTTAATCCTTTATCTAGGACCTGTATCTCTTCCTCTGTGAGTGCTACCCACTAAGGTGGAAAATACCTTCACCTGTTATTTCTTCTTTTTCTCTTGTGTTCTTTTTCTCCCCTACATCCTCTGTAATCAGCAGGATACACATTTCTAAAAAGAGCTACTTTTAGGCATGAGATATCATCTGGAAAGGAAATCACTGGAAGTTCTCTTTGTCGCTGATGTGCAGCCAATTGTTTATTTAAAGAAAACTCAGGCAGGGCAACGCCTTCCAGCACCTTCACATGCAGCACAGACCACAGCTATTACAAGGTAACCTGAACTTCTATTTATATGGTCACAGCCTGATGAAAAATCTATATATTATTATTTATTTCAGGTACCTATATAGCGCCATCAATTTACGCCGCGCTTTACATATATATTGTACATTCACATCAGTCCCTAACCCTCAAGGGGCGTACAATCTAAGGTCCCTAACTCAAGGAGCGTACAATCTAAGGGTCCCTAATGGGACAATTTAGACAGGACACATTCACTACCAGACATGTTTAGACAGGAGCCAATTAACCTACCAAATGTCTTATGGATATATATATATATATATATATATACAGCGTTTTGTAATTTTAAATATATATATATACACACACTATATATTGGTTTGTGGTGCTCAGATTCAGTGCGTTTCCCTTTAATTTCTCCACACTCAATGGGGAATAAACACCACCAAAAGAAACTCTATCTTTCTCTAAAAACAGATATGAAATTAATGTGTGAACAATGTTGTATGACTGAGTAATTGTCATTCAAAATGTGACAGTTTATCATTCCGTCATCAAGTGGTTAAAGCCTCCGGCCTCCAACTCCGGTAGGGTGGCCACCTCATCCCTTTAAAGCTGAACACATATTAATTACACAGGTTCTGGGACTGATTAAGGTGGTAATTAAACTCACTCAGTGCCTTATCTGTATTAAATTAGACTCAGAATCTGTGTCATTAATATATGTTCGTTCGGGTTTAAAGTGATGAGGTTCTCCCTTGCAGTGGGACGGCACCCGCACTGCAAGAGTTAACGGTTCCTTTTAGTCTAGAGGACGTATAAAGCATTTCCCGATTCTCCAGCAAACAGCACTCCCCTTGGCTCCAACTGTGGACTGGCTCTCGGTTTCCTAACATCCAGCTAGGGTTGGGGTCTCTGCATTGGTCTTGATGACTACAGAGGGCCTCAGACCACCAGGGCTGGGGGAGCAGAGGCTGCAGAGACCAGTATAGCAATGCAGAGGAATCTACGGGGGAAGTGGACGATCAAAACTGTTCCCCCCCCCCCATCCCCCTAGACATAAACTAGCTGGTAGCAGGTGCAGGGAGGATTTTTACTTTTCTTGGAGTTCCGCTTTAACTTTTTATGTATGGATTGCAGGTCATAGAGGGAAGGGCCGTGAGAATCCCTCCTAGGAGGACACAGGCCAGAGAACCTCCATTGTCCGGCTCTGTAATGTATCCAGGGGCGGACTGACCATTGGAAACTCGGGCACTGCCCGAGGGCCCGGGGTCAGTAGGGGGCCCCATGAGATGCCCCTGGTACCTTTTTCATAGGCTTTTTTGAGTTTAGGCAAGGACACAGGAGCCCCGTGATCCCCTATTGCCCGGGGGCCCCATGAGTTGTCAGTCCGCCCCTGAATGTATCCTCAGGTACAATGACATTATACACAGAAGAGTGACACTGACCTGATCCCAGGAGGAGAAGAAAGCAGATCACATGTGCAATTTTCAGCCCGCTCCTCATTGCTCCATCCATCCCGGATCCACTCCAAGAAAACTGTGAAAGACGTCCGAGTTGTGGGAATGACCAAGATGTTCTGAACCTTGTTCCACTTTCACTTTTTAGAAATCAAAAATTACAATCACAGATGCCAGATTAATTTCGTCTCCAAACCACACCACAAATAAGAGCAGAGACAACCAAAATCTAAAATCCAAAAACGATATGTCACATCCCTAAATCTATTGAAGTATCAAAAAGAATATTCAGATGGGACTTTTGAGGCACAACATATTTTATAAAACACATTTTTATATCATCCATAGAGAAGGTATTTAACATTAATGGATGAAGTATGTTGGTTAAATACCTTCTCTATGGATGATATAAAAATGTGTTTTATAAAATATTTTGTGCCTCAAAAGTCCCATCTGATTATTCTTTTTGATACTATAAGAGCGCAGAGACATGAGAAGTCCAGCCTACTCCAAAATGTGTTCATATTGTACAAGCAAAGCAAAATTAAAAAACAAAAAAAACAACAAGTTGAAAGATAAGTTACACAACAGTCATTTGTTACTTTGTTTGCTTTCTACAGCTTTTAAGTGTTACTTCCCCTTCTACACTCACTGGCCACTTTATTAGGTCCACCTTGCTAATGCCACGAAAATCTCCCCCTCACCATGACATGGCCACCACCAGCCTGAACCGTTAATACAAGGCAGGATGGATCCCCCACACCATGACACCACCACCACCAGCCTGAACCGCTGATACAAGGCAGGATGGATCCCCCACACCATGACACCACCACCACCAGCCAGAACCATTGATACAAGGCAGGATGGATCCCCCACACCATGACACCTGCACCACCAGCCTGAACCATTGATACAAGGCACGGTGGATCCCCCACACCATGACACCTGCACCACCAGCCTGAACCATTGATACAAGGCAGGATGGATCCCCCACACCATGACACCTGCACCACCAGCCTGAACCGTTGATACAAGGCAGGATGGATCCACCACTACCAGCCTGCACCATTGATACAGGGCAGGATGGATCCACCACACCATGACACCACCACCACCACCAGCCTGAACCATTGATACAAGGCAGGATGGATCCTCCACACCATGACACCCCCCACCACCAGCCTGAACCATTCATACAAGGCAGGATGGATCCCCCAGACCATGACACCACCACCACCAGCCTGAACCGTTGATACAAGGCAGGATGGATCCACCACACCATGACACCACCACCACCAGCCTGAACCGTTGATACAAGGCAGGATGGATCCCCCACACCATGACACCACCACCACCAGCCTGAACCGTTGATACAAGGCAGGATGGATCCATGCTTTCATGTTTTTTACGCAAAATTATAACCCTACCATCTGAATGTTGCAGCTGAAATCCAGACTCATCAGACCAGGCAACGTTTCTCCAATCTTCTATTGTCCAATTTTGGTGATTCTGTGCGAGTTGTAGCCCCGCTTCCTGTACTTTACTGACAGGAGTGGCACCTGGTGTGGTCTTCTGCTGCTGTAGCCCATCTGCTTCAAGGTTAGATGTGTTGTGTGTTCAGAGATGGCATTCTGCACACCTTGGTTGTAACGAGTTGTTATTGGAGTTACTGTTGCCTTTCTATCATCTGGAATCAGTCTGCCCATTCTCCTCTGACATCAACAAGGCATTTTCCTCCACACAACTGCTGCTCACTGGATATTTTCTCTTTTTCTGACCATTCTCTGTAAACCCTACAGATGGTTGTGCGTGAAAATCCCAGGAGATCAGCAGTTTTTTAAATATTCAGACCAGCCCGTCTGGCACCAACAACCATGCCACGGTCAAAGTCACCTAAATCCCCTTTCCTCCCCATTTTGATGCTCAGTCTGAGCTTGAGCAAGTCGTCTTCACAACATCTAGATGTCTAAATGCATTGAGTTGCCGCCGTGTGATTGGCCGATTAGCAATTTGTGTTACCAATCCATTCAACAGGCGGACCTTATAAAGTGGGCGGGGAGTGTTTGGTTTGTTAGGTTTTATCTTCTGAGAGATAGTGTTGTAGAATTGTAGATTTTACTTTACAATAAATGTCTTCCGATCTTATTTTCACCACAGATACACTTTATCAATCAGGGGATAAATAATTTCTGCATGGTTTAATGGGATTTACCATGGGCCTAGTTTTGGATAGAGTGGGCAAGGGTTGGGTCCTCTGTCGGGTTTTTATGTCTGTCTGTACCCCCATTGGGATGATTCGCCCTCTCTATTTGTCCCAGAGAATTAATGTCCCCATTTTGAGCACTAGAACAGGAGTAGAGGGGAAATCTTCAGTTGGGGAAAACCTAGTGACTACTGTCCCCGAGAGTGGGGGTCAGATTTTCAAAATGAAATCTGGGGACCACGCCCACAAACACTCCCCCCCCCCCCCCATACATACCACATCTTCGAACAATTGGCCACAATTTTTGAACAGGAGGCAGCCATTTAAGGTGTATAGACTGAACAGATTGTAGTTAGGAGGCACCAAGATATGCATTCATAGTTTGAGGGGATGTATTGAAGGCACAAGGGAAAGAAATGCAGTGGACCACCCATCAAAGTACACTTAAAGTGTCGCTAAACCCCCAACAGTACAATCAGTCTGTAGATGCAGTAAAGCATGCTTGTTATACTCACTGTGGGACCTAAGGGGTTAATCCTCTGCATTGTGTTAAAAGGCGGTTTGATTCTGTCTTCTCTGATCCTCCCCTTCATCTACTGTCCCCAATCCATCTGCTGACAGTACAGAGCCCTAGGAGTCACTCTGCACATGCTCAATGTAGTGTGTATGGCTAAAGAGTTTTTTTTATCTTTGGGAGAGTGCATGGGATCAGTACAGAGCCAACCAGTGCTGTTCAAACAAAGAGTCAGGGGTGATGCAGCCTCATAGGACAGGTAGAGGAGAATGAAAACTCCTCCTACAAGCTTTAACCAGTGCTCAGCTGGACACTGATATAAGTCACAAGACTTCTATATACTGCTGATAAGAAAAGGGATTTAGCAGTTTATAATGACTAAAATAATTATTTTTCCATGTTCTGTGTACTGTGGGAGACCAGATATAGTGAATGCAGGGTCCGGGGTGAGCGGATATAGGGAATGCGGGGTCCGGGGAAGTGAGCGGATATAGCGAATGCGGGGTCCGGGGGAGAGCGGATATAGCGAATGTGGGGTCCGGGGAGAGCGGATATAGCGAATGTGGGGTCCGGGGAGAGCGGATAAAGCGAATGTGGGGGTCCGGGGAGAGCGGATACAACGAATGTGGGGTCCGGGGAGAGCGGATACAGCGAATGTGGGGTCCGGGGGAGAGAGCGGATACAGCGAATGCGGGGTCCGGGGAGAGCGGATATAGGGAATGCGGGGTCCGGGGAGAGCGGATATAGGGAATGCGGGGTCCGGGGAGAGCGGATACAGCGAATGCGGGGTCCGGGGAGAGCGGGGGGTCCGGGATATAGGGAATATAGGGAATGCGGGGTCCGGGGAGAGCGGATATAGCGAATGCGGATATATGGATATGTTACCCGGGGGGCCAAATATCCATTAATCAAAGTTCTCCGGTTCATGAGGGAGCCAATCAGAGGAGATGGGGCCAGCAGGAGGGAGAGGAGAAGAGCTGGCTTTCAGCTGTTGCAGAGAGAGCCATACAGGGGATCAGTTCCAGTAATTGTTGCCCCCCCCCCCCCCCCCCTGCAGATCACCCTCCCTACCCACAACTGATTCACCCAGCTGCCTGCCTGGGCCCCCCTGCTGGCCTGGGCCCCGTACAGAAGGAATGGTGGTACCCACTTATCCATGGCCCTGACTATGAGTACTATGACCCTGGGCAGAGGAGAGACTGTAGGTAGATAACTGCTGAAGTGCTGCACGTGCTTTCATTTGTGACTACTGCGGACCGTCTGCTAAATATGACTGACTGTATAATGTCAAGTGATTCCGGAATGTATGTCCTGTAATGTGACTGTAATGCGGCTTCCTGAATGCCATTAATAAAGTGCAGCAAACCTATTTCTTGTGTGGACATTCCTTCCTTTGGATATAAAGGTCTATGGCCTGGAATGTCGTGTGGAGGCCTATGGCAGGGCACAACATGGCGGAGGGTTCGGCCTCAGCTGGGGGGACAGTTTCCTTGCAGGGCTGGAGCAGCCAACCACAAAGCCTCTCTTGCATGGGGACCCCAGGGATCCCAGTTAAAGCTTTGTTCAGATTTTTCACCCCCTTGAGATACCCTCAGAGTAATCCAGCCGTACCTGACCTGAACCCTGTGCTCCATCCAACCCACTACGGCCTCACTAGCAACAGATCCTGTTGTCACCCCAATACAACTGCTTCAAGAGAAGATCCCGTGAGACGAAAATCAGCAGTCAGTCCACACACAAAGATATTCCTCATTACTTCATTACTGAACACCTTCAGGCCCGGTCTAGAGCAGATTGATGGGCGGGCGGGAAGCTCCTCCTTCTGAGTGGGTGTCATATGGTGTCCTGTTAGAAGGTGCCGCACACACGGTCGCGGGGGGGCAGGAAAGTGGCGCGATTTGTCACCAGCTGTTTCCACAGGACACAGACGATGACAGATCACTAGACTGACCCTCTGCAAGTGTCATGTGACCACTGTGACCAATCACAGCAGATCACATGATAATTGTATACAATGGATGGCTTCCTATCATGCCATCCTTGTATACAATTGTGTTAGCTGTGATTGGTCACAGCGGTCACATGGTACAGACAGGGCCAATCACAGCCCATCTGTACCATGTGATGAGCATTGCCCAACCACAGCTAATCAAAACAAAAGACTGAATGAATTGAGTTCCTTTCAGTAACAATGGTTGCTAATATCATGGAAATACATCGGTATCAGCAATCCTAATGTGTGGGAAAATATCCTCATCCCTCCCCCAGAGTAGTACAATGTGACTAGCAAATGTTTTCCTTAATTACTGATGGTGATAGGACACAAGGCATTGCTTCTTTAACCACTTCAGGTCCGGACACTTTCACCCCCTTCCAGTCTGGACGCTTTCCCCCCCTTCCAGTCCGGACAATTTTCCCCCCCTTCCAGTCCGGACACTTTCACCCCCCTTCCAGTCTGGACGCTTTCCCCCCCTTCCAGTCCGGACAATTTTCCCCCCTTCCAGTCCGGACACTTTCCCCCCCTTCCAGTCCGGACACTTTCCCCCCCCCTTCCAGTCCGGACAATTTCATCCCCTTCCAGTCCAGACGCTTTCACCCCCCTTCCAGTCCAGGCCAATTTTTAGCGCTATCACACTATGAATGACAATTGCGCGGTCATGCAACACTGTACCCATATGAAGTTTTTAGCATTTTTTTTTAGACATAAAATTTTATTTTGGTGGTATTTATTCACCGCTGGGGATTTTTTTTTTTTTTTCCTATATAAATGAAAAAGTCCAAAAATTTGGAAAAAAAAGTGTTTTTCTTATACAATTTTGCAAATAAATAATCTTTCTTCATACATTTTGGCCAAAATATATTCCGTTATCTTTTTAGTAAAAAACAAAATCCAAATTAGTTTATAATCAAAAATTATAATTTAAAAAAAATTTTTGGGCATTTTTATTTTATTTTTTATATTATTATTATTATTATTTTAACATACGGTCACTCTATCAGTAGTGTCACCATGGTAACACTGTGGGGGGTGATGAAGATTTTTTTTTTTTTTTACACTGATTGCTTTTACTCCCATAAAGACTGTAAAATCAACAATTTCTCCTTCTCTCTGGCTGTATTCTTGCAGCCATTGAGAAATACTGTGTGAGCTGTGATTGGTCACAGCTTGTCACATGGTACAAGGCTGTTGTGAATGGCCCTGTACCATGTGATCTCGGTGATCATTCACAGATTTCACACATAGTAAGCAATGATGTCAGAAGTGACATCTTATTTACTACTGTTCATGTGATCACTGATTGGCCAGTCAGTGATCACATGATCGGGACCTCACACAGAGGTCCTGTACAGCGATTGGTGTTCTGCTGTGTCCTCCTACCTAGGGGGCGCACACAGGCAGGGAAGTGGGGAAGATGTTTATAAACGCCCCCCCCCTCCCCTGCACCGCTCCCGTCATTGTATTGGAGTAGACTCACCATCCTTGTGTGGAGGGAGTGGAGAGAGGAGCGGCACCTCTGCATCCATTCTTCTCCATCTTCATCCCCGGCTCTCTCTGTCAGGCGGCACATCCGGCTCCTCATGTCCCCGATCCCTGCTGACAGCTCCTCTATTATAGCCAGGGGTCTGCAGACCGGCTCAGAGCCAATCACGGAGCCCCTCTTTTATATTCTGGGTTAACACCCTTCTGGAATGTTCCCAGGGGTCCAGCTGACTTCTCTGATCTCCGGGCGGATCACACCTGTGTCACCTGACAGGGGATGTTGCCGGGCAGATTTTCCACAGCTGGACCAGGTGTGATCTGACCTCCTGAGGAGAAAGCAAGGGAAGGGGGGGCCTTGAAACTGCCCCTACCTCAGATGTCACAATCCATGAGTGAGGGGGGCCTGAAAACAGCCTCCCCCTTCCTTCCATTGTAGTGTCAGCCTGTGGTGCAGTAATAATACCGGCTCAGCACCTTCCTCAGTCCTGTGCTGAAAATGTGAGGTAAAGTCTTCTCTGATACAGCTCTACATACGTGTGCGTGTGTCTTCCTGAACATTTCTGCCTGTTCCATCCATCTCAATGTGTTGGGCTGACAATGCTCTAATCCAGGGGTGGGCAACTGTGTCCCTCCAGCTGTTGTAGAACTACAAGTCCCATGAGGCATTGCAAAACTGACAGTTACAAGCGTGACTCCCAAAGGCAGAGGCATGATGGGACTTGTAGTCCACCAACAGCTGGAGGGCCACAGTTGCCCACCCCCGCTCTAATCCATAGAGGATTCCTTTCATGACATTCCAGGGCCACAGATCATTTCTTTTTCTGGGGGGGGGGGGGGGTTCAGCTCTTCTCAAACTCTAAGGCATTGTTTACACTTGATGGGGGGGGGGGGGGGGTAAAATGTATGGCAGCAAAGTGGTGCCAATGATCCCCCTGTAGAGTTCAGCGGGCCGTACCTCCTGCTGAACGCAATCCATTCAACTGAATAGGGGCCCCTACAAGAGTGATTGTGGCCCGCTAGTTCAGACCAGGGGCGGACTGACCATTTGGAAACTCGGGCATCGCCCGAGGGCCCGGGGTCAGTAGGGGGCCCCATGAGATGCCCCTGGTACCTTTTTCATAGGCTTTTTTGAGTTTGGGCAAGGACACAGGGGCCCCATGATCCCCTATTGCCCGGGGGCCCCATGAGTTGTCAGTCCGCCCCTGGTTCAGGGTTTAACCCCTTGGAGCCTCCCGGCCCTTTAAGGGTTTCAGAAGCCAGGAGGCGGGGTTTAGGGTCATGTGATCGCAGTGACATGCCGTCACAGTGGTCACATGATCAGGAAAGGTCCCAATCGAAAGAGGAGATGGGGCCCTTGCCGTGAGTCCCGGACACGTGTGTTGGGAGGGGGCAGGGCACGCGCTTCTCAGCACATATGTTCTTTTTTATTAGAACGCAAATGTGCGGCCCGCTCAGCGTCTCGGCCCAGACTCCGGGAGGTCGCACATTTGGGTTCGGCCGGCATGAAGAGGTTAATGTGGTTGAAGCTGGTGATGAAGAAGCAACACAGCCCCTCCTCTCTGCCTGCCAATTGCTCTCTGAACAGCAACCTGAATACAGATCCTTTTCAGAGGGCGACACGAGTGACAACCGGCCCTGACTGTTTATGTAGCTGAAATCCTGAGGTTTATCACCCCCTCGCCTTCCGGGAACTTTCACCCCCTTTGTGTGAGACACAGAGAGCTTTCTATTGGTGGTATTTAATCACCTCTGGGGGGGGGGGGGGGGGGTGATAAACAAACCAAAAACAGCTGAAAATTTAAAAAGAAAAAGTTTTTTTCTTAGTTTCTGTTATAAAATTTTTGTAAACAAGTAATTTTTCTCCTTCACTGATGTGCGCTGATGAGGCTGCACTGATGGGCACTGAAAGGCAGTACTCATATATGGCACTGATAGGCAGCACTGACTGTTACTAAGTGGTACTGACTGGAACTGAAAGGCCGCTCAGATGAGCACTGATATGTGGCAGTGATATGCACTGGTAGGCACTGATATGTGGCAGTGATATGCACTGGTAGGCACTGATATGTGGCAGTGATATGCACTGGTAGACACTGATATGTGGCAGGGATATGCACTGGTAGGCACTGATATGTGGCAGTGATATGTGAGATTTTGTCCAATGGCAGACATGCATCCCTACCTGCAGGTAACCAATGGATGTGCAGATACAGGCAGATACGTGTTTACAGCAACACACAGACTTGGCTCTGTTCAGCCCATCACCTAGGTGTACAGGCTGAGCAGCTGCCGATGAATGGAGCACCTGGGAACC